ATTTGAGCTTTGCAAAGCAGGAGCTTCCTTCATGTTTCCGCTTGGCGCTGCATCGGCACGGGCGATCAAACAGAGAAGACAGATCAGCGGCACTCGCAGGGACACACCGCCGTCTTTTGAGGGCTACTGCGTTAGTCTCCTCCTTGGCACCGCCGCAGGCAGAGGGTTGCGCCGGGCTCTCAACTTCTTCATCAGAGCTCAGGGATGTCACAGCTGCGAGGACCATGCAACCATTCCTTGTCCGGTCTCGCGATGATGTTTGCTGGTTCAAAACCTATCTTTGGAAACTTGTCATCTTGATTGCCCTGTGTGTGTTTGACTGACGCTCTTGGAAAAATCAGGTGGTGACTAGTAACCACATTGAGCATAGATCGGCTACTAGCTGAGCGATTGCTGGATGCATGAACCCTGTGGCAACTGAGCCGTCAAAGAACATTAATCAAGTGACATTTTCGAGTTTCCTGCATGAGTGGCGACCTGACTCTGCCAAGCCCGATAAACCTTACCCTAAGGATTCGTGAAGCAGTGAAGCAATGCGTTTGCTTTCTGTCCACTGGCAGCTCACTGAGCCCCAGGCTAGCCGACACGAGCGGGTGGAGCCCCTCCTTTCAGCAAAGAATTGAGGCGCTCTTCACTCGCAGCTCTTGATGCATGTAAATTACAAATTTGCAGCCGCCAACCCAAATCATGTTTCCCGATTCTCCAAAGGCTTTAATTTAGAGGCCCAACAAACCATTCACTGACAGGAATTCTTGGGGTTGGCAACGAGAGCACCTAGGCTGACACGGGAATCCGTGCCAGAAGCTGGAGGCTAGCCGCGGCTTGGGATGGGACCACTATGTTGCCACAGCAATGGATCCTGTCATCCCAGCTTTCAGTCTTCTCACTCAACAGCCACATCTTGAGGGGCAGCTTGTTCAAAGGGTTCCAAGTCTGCGGGAGCATCTCAGCCAGAGGTCGAAGTTCCAGCCCCTGGCAAACACACGACCAGATGATTTTCTTGTTGAGAACGGGCCTTGAATACGGGCCGCCCTTTCTGAGCGGCGAAGATGAACACCCTCTTTCTGGTTGCCTAGCCGTGCCGTTCATCAGAAAACGCAATCAGTGATAGCCCGATTCAAAACAGCCAGGCTGACTGCGAGACCAACCTCCCGAAGGGCAAGGGCAGCCCAGCGCACTTCATAGCCACGCCGGGTGCACTCCTCGGGATGGCTTGTGTGGCGGACAACCAATAGGGATGTTGAAGTGTAAGGCACCCGCATGAATCAAGTAGCACCACATGTTTCGCATTTTGGACTCCATCAGCGCCCCCACATTCTCAAAGTACAGGAAGTCCCTCAAACAAGCAGGCAGGGGCTGATAATGGGCGCAAATTGGCTTAGGCTTGGGCGGTTTTCGGCGCATTTCATCGGCCAGTCTCAAGAAATGGGAGCATAGTGAAGACCTCCTGTCTGCCATTCCCAGCTGGGAGCCCGCAGCACTCACCCCCTGCACAGGGTCGGCAATCGGGTGTCACAGCAGCAAGCTGGTCAAACGGCCAATCATGTTGGCACATTTGCAAGCTACCCTTTTCCATGCGGAACCCTCTCATCGAATTTGAGGCCTTATGCTGAGCCAGACTGTTGCTGGAAAGCGCTAAAATCATCAGGGTTTAGCACAATTTGGCAACTGATGTTGCGTGTGCCCTGGTTCAAGTCTGCCTTTGATTTATTTTGACTACAAGTAGATGCTGTTGCGCCCTGGCAAAGAAATTGCAAATCCTGGCCCAGGCCAGTGAAATCGACATCTTCAGATCGATGGCGGATGCTACGGATTCGAGCTTTGAAACACAAAATCACGAGCTCTCACAACTGAGCTTCGAGACAGGGGTTTCAAGACCAAAAGCAGCAGCATGGTCCACCTCGTAGAGAGCATCCACAAGCTCATTCTTGCGGCTGCCGCCGGTTGGCACCCCCAACTCGGCGCACAAGGCCGCAAGAGTCCCCTTTTTGTAAGCGGTGAACGGTGGCAACAGAAGAGCCTTGCGCTTTGATGTCTCCATGGCGAGAACTTGGGGCAACCCAACCCTGGACCTCACTTGATACTCGAGAGAGACAGCGGCAAGAACTATTTTCTGTTTTCCATGCTCTTGCTCAGCAAGATGGCAAGTGCCCGGCCTGGCAGGGGAAGCCCCCACCGATGCCCACAGCGCCCAGGTGATCGACGTCCTTGCCGCGGACAGCGGTCACATCTGAAAGGATGCCGCAGGCATGGAGAAGGTTGTCAGCTTGCCGTGCTTTCAAGACTTGGCGAGCATAGGGATCTTTCTCCACCTCAACCCAAGGGACACATCCATTGTCATGGGTTGATAAAGAATAAGCTTCTGAGGATGTGGCCATAAGCACTGGGTACATAATCCTAAGAAGAAGCCATCCATCTGTCAAGTCTGTTGTGGACCCGTTTGCACTCTGAGAGCACGACTCTGCGAAGCCTAGCTCAAGCCCGCCCACACCAGTGAAGAGCGAGATCACCGCATGCTTGTTCTCCTGGCGAGCATTGCTAAGCCGTGTTGTTCTTCGAGTGATCGGCTTGCCTTGGAATGCGCGTTGGGGAACATATTCGCAAAAATCTCGGCATCGACCGAGCCGGGCTTTGACGAAGTCCAGTTGCTCGGAAGACCTAAGGGCTAGCACCCCACCTTCAACTGACTCGACATCAAGAACTCATTTTTAACAAATTCAAAACAACAACTTGGCCCTGAGCCGCTGAACCATTCCGCAACTTGCGGGTGCAAGAACGTGCCAGGACGAGAGGATTGGATGGCCTCCTTGTAGTCCATGCTGAACCGGATTTGATTGGCCAAGTCCTCAATTCGATGGGCCAGTGGGCTGTTTTGGGTTGGAAGCTGGGCAATCTTAGGAGCAGGCAGTGATTCCTCTGCATGTCACTGCTGATTCGGTCACCCGGGAACAGGCCTTGAAGCAACCTGAGCCAATTCCCAGAAGCCCTGTTTTGTGGCACCCTCTTGAGTTGCGGACGGATGCAGCTCCAGGATCGAAAGACTTTGGTTCCAAAGAAGATTCCACTCTTGTGTTTGCCAGCCTTCTTCTTTGCAGAGGCCTTTGTGTTGTTGGAGACCTAGGTGTTGGCAATGGCATCTAACCTAAACCCGTGATTTCAACCAAGTCTGCTGAGGGAGGGGCAACCTTCAAGGCGAGCTTCTGGCAGTTGCGAAGCGCAGCCTGGGAAAGACTGACGCTTTCAATTACAGGGGTGGGGTGGACGCCTCCATGCCCAATAAGACCAACTTCCTCTTGGTAGCTCGTGAAATGAGGCCAGCTTTGGGCAGTTTCTCCTGGCAAAGTCAATGGACAGGGCCCAAAAAGAGTGATGTCGTTGCAAGCCTCGTGAAACTTGTTGATGACCTTCCTGGCTCCCACCTTGAGGTCAACGGCCTGAAAGGGCCACAGAGTGTTGGGCTAGGTGGTTTGCGTGAAGCGCCCAGCCTTCTTAGCAGCAATCGGTGCGGGGCGGCTCTCCTCCCTTCCTGACCTGGGGGTTCAAGTGTCCGGGCGAATGAGGGACAAACTGCGATTAGGCCAAGGTCTGGGCTCGCCCTCACCATCGCTCAGGTCCATCACGGGGCGAAGAGGCATGATCCTTGCTGGGCGGGCGATGAGTAAGCTTTCAAGCATTTCAATGCAACTCATGATGCATAGCATCATCAAACTGTTTAAAGGGGCACAAAAAAGGGTGCAACCGTTCTTTTCCACTATAAAGTGTTAATGACAAGGGATGCAGCCGTTGACATCAGTCTCAGCCCAAGGCCGTTTCAACATTGTTTTAACTGTTTACCTGCTCCAAGCACTTGTGAAAGCCCCACAGGCTTCAAACCTCTGATTGCATGTTTCCCAAGAGCTGAGGTAAACTTTGATTGTACAGTAGCGCATGCCTTCTGAGCTCGAAGAACCCGTTGATTCACACTAATTTGAGATCCACCTGGCAATGATCCAGGGGCTGATTCCCCAGTGTCGGGCATACATGGAGCCCATACCCAAGTTTTGGCGACTGACAAACAATGACAAACATTCCCCTGCCTCAACTCTCGGCGAGGCCGATGGCCTTTCGCTGCTGATCACTGCAGCTGCAGCGGAGCGTGCAGCAGCCACACACATTCACATTTCGGTGGTCTGCCGAAGTGCACCGGATCATTTTGGTGGCCCAATTAGGCCGAAAACATTTTATATATAGTCTATATATATATATGTATATATATATGTGTATATATATCTATATGTATTTCGTGTTTGCTTTTTCCCGCTTTTTGCCTTCTCGTTAGGTTTGTTGTTGTGTTTGGTTGTTATTTGGCTTTGCGGTGTGGGTAGGAGTTCTTGGGTTTGTTCCGGCTTTTGTTTGAAGCAGCCTTCTCTGCGTGCCTCCGGCTGACCATTTTCTTGGGTCAGTCGCAAAGCTGACAGTATCCTAGAGCTGGTTGGGGTATATACTCCACCTTGTAGGTATGTGTCAAAACGGAGGGACTTCGAAAGTTGTTGATGGCAGCGGTTTTAGCTCCGCCCCCAACTTGCCGGTAAACTCGCAGGTATATGAGCTATATCACCACTAGCCTTTCTATAAGGCGTACATGGTTGCACGCCGCTTCCCAACTTTAGCTCCAGATAACACAGATTCGTTGCTCCAGAGAAGCACGGGTATATGACTAGCCATAGACCCCATTCGGGTGCATCTTTCTTGGACCCCACGATATCGTGTCTTTGTCTTGCGCTGGAGCCCCTGCATTTCCTCGGCCTTGGGTTTCCCTTCGGTTCTCCTTTTTGGAACCCTCCCAAAAAGCAAACCTTTGCCTTGGGGTGAGAACCTCCGCATTTGCCCATTGGTCCTCTGCATATCCTGTTTCTTTCCTTTCAGCCCAGAAATGGGAACCCTCAACAAAAATAATAATCAAACCTTTTCCCCCTAAGACTCCCCCCCTAAGACCCCCCCAGCCGACCCTCCGCCTGGAGGTTTCCCAACCTGCAGTGGCTGGTGCGCCACGACGACGACGTCTACCTGCGCGCCCCGGCGCTGCTGGCGCAGCTGGCGAGCCGCCCCCCGGTGCGCTACCTCTGGGGCATGCGCCTCGGTTCGGTTCGAATTCGGTGCGGTGCGTTGGAGCGGCCAAGTGCGAAACCGGGTGCCCGGGTTTTCTTTGTGGCGGACCCCCCAAAAACTTGAGCGGTTTTGCGGTTCTCGGCTTTTTTCCAAGACTCCAAGACCAAGTTCTAAGTGGCCGGTTTGTTTTTTTAGCGGACTTCAACGTCGTTTCCTTTTGGTCTCCCTTTGAAACCATCCAAGAAGCGGTAGCCTGAATAGAAAGTGGACCCCCAAAAGAGCGGTTCTCGTTCCAAGACTCCAACATACCTTTTGAGCATACCCCGCCCCTTTTCTTGGCTGCCCTTTGAAACCTCAAAAGAGACACCAAATGGTTCACCCCTTCTTGCAACTCGTCTTGGGGCCAAAGGGATGGATAAGAAAACAAACGTATCTTCTTTTGGGGAGCCCCGCTGTTGGACGAAATCCATTGGACGAAACTTTCAAATGGTCAAATGGGTGCCTGTTTGGTTGATTTCAAACGAAGCGCAAAAGAAACGGACCATTTTGGAGGCTCCCCCATTTTGAGACAACCCCACATACCCGACCGTCGATCCCTGACGAAAAGAGGTGGTGGTTACCATGAAAAACCAAGCTTGTCCAAACATACCTCAGAACAGCGCGTAATTTGGAGTCTGGGTAAGATTCGATGGTCCGGACTCGACTTTTGCTCCATGACGGGACGACTGACATTGTTGGTTGGCGGACCTGAAACCAAGGGCTCATGATTTTGGAACACATTCTATGTTTTAACGTCGAGTCAAGAAGCAGAATCTTCAAGTAGTAGTTTGTACAGTGGAGACAAGAGAGGGCTTCCTCAAATTTGGGCCGAACATGTTGGGTGGCTAAAAGCAAAACTATCAGAGAGCCACCCATCCTTGTGGCTCCAAGAGGAAGCCACTCATCCTTGCTAGCAAACCGCTCCTCCGGGGGCATTACGGGATATACAGCCACTACATATCCAATTGTTTCTTTGGGGGCAATGTGAACCAAGAGAGGAGGATTTTTCACTTGTCCAACACAAAACCTCTGAAGCTTTGGGTGTGGCCAGGGGTCGCTGCCCGGAGAGGTTCGATCATGGGTCCAGCCCTGTCCGCGATCCAGCACACCAGCACTACAACTCCTTCGAGCAGTTTCCGAAGCAAGATCATCCCGCTTGGGGAGATATCTTCCCACCGTATGCGCCTTGAATGCCCATGGACTTGATGAGGGATGGGGAGTGACAGAGACGGCTGACAGTCAGGTGCCGGCTTTTTTAGAGGATCTTCAGTTACTTTGCCCACCAAGCAGGAAGCAAGCACATATGTGGGTCCTTATGACCCATTAAAAGCATCATTTGCATGACCTGTGCAACCCATTTATGATGGTGTTCCAACTCACCCTGTCGCCCGTTTCGAGACTCTCTCGGGTTGAGGCCCGGGGCCTTCTGTGGGCCATGTCCGCAGATTTGGTGGCGGCGACGGTCAGAGAGTTCAGGGAAGACCTCCAGGAGCGAATCGATGGCGGGAAACGGCTGTGGGTCAAAAACAGGTACCCAAAATGGAATTCTGGTTGAGAACCACTAAATCCTGCAAGTTCCAGGTGGTTTCATTTTGACCCATACCCAAATCGACCGAGTTCGCATTCGAACTCGGAGTCGCATTCGATCGCGAGCTCGGAAAGTCGACCCCAGGAGCAGCCGGACATCCCCCTGGACGAGGCCGGCGGGGGGGGGTCCTTTTGACCGACTGGATTTCCCCTTCGGTCGGTCTATGTCGAGTCAAGGTTGCAGGTGAATCCATGGCAATTATTTCCCACCCAAGTGAGAAACTGATGAACCTTTCTCGGCCGTGAGGGTTCCATCATGGCATTTCGTTTGTCCAGGAGGCGGCGAACCGTTTGCCTCACCCGGATGATCCTGCAGTCGGGGTGCTGATTGCAGGGTTGGCCCGGAACCCAAGCTCAACTTCACTTTTTGGGATTGGTTTGGGGTGACCCCTGGAGATCGTTTCAAGCACGACATATGCAACTTGGAACTCAGGGACCCCCCAAACCCCTAGCAGATCCACGGGTTTGCTAGGTCCACTTCACAGATCTCGGCCTGGCGGATTCCAAGGTTCGGCAGGGCATGTCCATCAACTTGGACGACCGCGACTTCAACTCCTTCTCTCTCAACCCCTCTTGTTCCTTCGCTTCTATGCGCCCAGCCGGTTTTTGTCAGTTGCTCTTTGCGTGTCCAAGGCAACTCCACCTTCTCCAACATTCACAACCGGACTTGGGCGACTCGGCAAAGCTGATTTCGGGGCATCAAGCGCTGGTTCGCCCTGCTTTCTGCTTTCTGCGGCGGCCCTGTTCCTTGGCTTGCCACTTTACATGAACACACTCAAAAACAGTCAGCTGGCTTGCACATACCAGCATCGTGGTCCCCAGGTCTTCGCAGGTTGGGTATCAGTTTCTCGGTGCGTCAACTGACGGAGATCAAACTTTGAGGGACCTACGAGCGATTCCTTTTTTTTGGGCCATTTGGCATTCCCTTCAAAAGCAAGCTAATGGCAGGTTCTGCTAAAGTTTCCAGACTCCAGATGCTTCATTCGGAAAAGCATGGTGGATGAGCTCTCTCTCTCTCTCTTTTTGTCTCTCTCTATTATTGACCACAAAAACCCTTGAAGAAAACCTTCTTGAGTGTGCCCATAAAACTACGGGCGTGCCTTTTTTGAGGATACCCGGTTTTGTGGTTTTAAACGGAAACCACAAGTTAAAACCCACCATTTTGGAGGTCTTTGGGGGTCTCCTGAAAAAAGGACGACAGACCGGCGGTTACGTAGGTGGTCCACCACGTGAAGCCGGAGACAATGCGCTGTATGTGGGACTTGGATACCGCGGAGTCGGCGGTTGGCATCTCCGACCAAAACTCCGCGGCTCGGCCAAAGGCCCAGCAGCTCCAAAGAGTGGCCAAGAGCTTGGTTTTAGAGTAGACATTTTGTGGCCCCTCCCGTCAAAAATGGTCAATCCCAGGAAGGGTGGCCAAGAATTGCGCGTTTTGCATTTTTGAGCCCATAGGCATTTGGTGAGCTTCCGGTTTTCGGTACCAGGGCAGCTCCTTTATATGTCCCATGAGCCTTTCAGCTCATGAGAGATTGGGTGTCTTTTGCTGCGAGCCTCAAAACAAGGGGGTCGTGGATAATGTGTTGTTCTCGGGATGTTATGTCCTGCACAGGCACTAGCCTCTAATAAATCCTATATGGTTGGGGGACCCACAGAGAGGGGACTGGAAATGGTCCCCCAAAGCAAGGAAGCCCTAGTAGCCCCTAATAGACCCTGCGAGTCGCTAGCCCCTATTGGGATTGGGGTCCTTGACAACCAGAGGAACAAAGCGGATGGCAATTCGCCACCCCCTTTGTGGCGCTGTGGTTGGTTTGCGGATGGAATCCACAGGGATCTGATGCCGTGGTTCAAGATGAGTCAAAGCCCCAAAAAGTGTTAGTCAAAAGCAGCTGGCTTAGGACATGGACGCCAGCTGTCCCCACCCTGGTCAAAGGGCTTCGTAGCATCTGGCTTGGGCCGAAGTAACTCTTCAGGTCATTGATGCATCCAGCCGCATCTTCCCGGACCTATGCCGATGTTCCACCGAAGTGGTGGAAGAGGAAGATGGAGAGGAGGATAGGTCAGTTTGGCTGAACATGGAAAGCATTGAGCTATTTGGCTTGCTTCGAATCATTTACCAGCACCTGCGTTCCTTAAAACAAAACGACACCCAAAACTGAGCCTTCAGTTCTCGTTTTTGGTTGTTTGGTGTTTGCACCCTGGGCACTCGAGAAATGTGGACCCCTGAAAGCGGATTTCATCACTGTTACTCCGGCTACTCATGGGGTTGTTCATGTTTTCAGGTGCGAAGCCCTCGCAAATCGCGGGCTTCAATCGCCATGTGCATGTCCACCAGGGGGTCCGCAAATGAGAGTGTTTCAAGCCTATCTGCCAGGAGCCTTTCTGGTACGACAAGTCTCGCTTCAACAATGCTCGGTGAAAAAGGAGCAACGCTTGGCAGACTTGGGCTGCCGGGGGTCGAAAGTTGCTTTTGGCCAGTGAACGGGATCCAAGAAAAGCTGCCATTGTGTGCCTTCGTTGTAGAGCAGGCTACAAATATAACGTACGTTATACGGCGGATTTCAATGGGGTACTTTTTGCCGTACAGCGACCAAAGCGCACATACACAAAGCAAATTAGCTTAGGGAGAATACCACAGCGACCTGAAATGACATGTTGGTTGTCCCACAGTCCATTTTTTCTGGCTGCTTCTCAGCAGGAAATGAGCGAATGAACCCCGGAAACCATCCCTTGTGGTTTCCTTCCCTAGGTTCATGCCTAACACCTGGAAGGACATTCCCTACCTATCGCACCAGATCACCGTTTATTTCCAGGTCCTTTGGACAACTGAGTATTCCCAACAGCTTTCCCCGGAACACTTCCTAAAAACTCTGGTTCGGGGCTCCGAAACGGTGACCCCTAAGACTTGTTCGGTCTGCGAAGACCAACATGAGGGAAGGACAGGGTTTTCCTGCTGGCTACCTTCACTGCTGGCAATATTTTAGTTGTTTGTTTTTTTTGGGGGTCTGTTCAGTTTCACTAGGGGGCTGCAACACACAACAAAGTTCTTTCCCAGCCCAGACCGCGGGTTGTACAAGTTATCCCTAGTCGTTCTTTGGGTGTTTCCCCCAGCCCCTCCAGTTGTTTTTGCGAGGCCAAAGACCGCCGACGGCAAGGCCAGGGCCTGAGGATTCGAGCAGCATGTCAATGGGACCCCCCCAAAATGGAGTTTGGTTTTCAACGTTTGGACTCCCCCCTGTCAATGTCCATAGGGGAGTTGTTGTGTGTTTTTTTAGGGGACCAACACCAAGATGGTAAAATTGTGGTTTTCAACTTTGGTGTCCCTTTAAGAACCAACCAACAAAAGGGTCCCCCGCAAATCAAGAAACATGTAATTACTGTGCCGAGCTTGGCCACCAATAGCAGGAGGGCACCTTTTAAAGTTTACACAAGTTCATGCTCGGCCTGAGATGAGAGCCAGAGTTTGATGGCGCAAATCGGAACGGGTTGACCACATTCCAGGTGGGCTCAGCATATGGACTCAATTTGTCCTGTTGAAAGACTCAAAAAAGACATGCCCAGGTGGTCCGCTTGTTCAAACCACGCATGCCTTTTGGTCGAAAGAAGAGGCGCTCAGATCGAGTTGAATTACGGGTTGGTGTTGCAGGGGTGAGGCACCCCGTTCAAAAGAGGGGCTTTGGACATGGGTTCCCAAGAAATCTTTGAAATATTTCTAAAACTGCATGTTGCAACCAACCCTTTGACCGGCCAGCCAACCAACCAACCACCAAGCCAATTTTACAACAAATGCTTTTCTTTAGGGCGTTCAGGGTTGGATTCACCGCAAGATGGATGTCCGACTAGAAACAGTGGATGCATTGACGATGGACGCCCGTCGGCGACTTCTCAGATGACCCCATTCCTTGAGTTCAAGGGCAAATCCGCATGGACACTTTGGAGAAGTATGAATCCAAGCACGGAAGGCTTCGATTTTTGTTGACCAAAGTCGCACCAAAGTTTGGTGCCACAACCCAAAGTGTCCTGTTGTTTTACAAAGTTTGGGGCCACGACCTTCAAGTTTCACGGTGATTTTTTCACCAAAGTCAGACCAAAGTTTGGTGCCACAACTAAAACTTATCCATGTGTTTTTGCCTTTGTTTTAGCCCCAGCCATGTGCCACCGACCCGATGTCCAATCCCGAGGTGAGCTTCTGGGAAGAAGTGCAGAGAAGGCGCCGCGAGGAGCGGCGGAGGCCGGGTAGGACGGGCTGTTTCATTCTTTTTCGGGTGGGTTCAGGGTGCCTTTGGGTTTGGGGTGGTTTGGAGGGGGCAAAACTCAGTTTCCCAGTTTGGTCCAGTTTTAGTCATGGCCCCAAAAGGTTAACCTTTTGTTTCCATGTCCTTGGGCAAGTGAGAAAACCCTGGAATTTTGTGGGTGGATTGCCAGAGGTTCTCCTTCCCTCTTTGGGAAGGGGAAGGATTCCGCTCTAAAATCTGATGCTGAAAAAGGGGGTTGCCCCTTCCCGGAAATATGAGAGTTTGTATGTTGGGCGGGATGGTAACGGCTGTGAAAGGCCTGAGAAAAGGCCCTGCACAAGTTGCACATTTGTGCAATGCACCGGTATGGTCACGGACTATGTTCATGCAGGAGCAAACAAGTAGCGTTTTGCGGGGGATCCGAGTCACAGAGCAAACGTTGGTTGAGGGAAGTTCCTCTTTCTCAAGTCTTGACTGAAGGTTGTGAAATCAAGGCTCAGTCTCCATCGCAATGTGCGAGCTAGGTGCAAGAGGTGATTCAAAGATGAACCCAGGTCACGTATATTTAGCGACAAGATAAGCCCGATTTCAAAGTGTCAAGGGTTCAACAACAGATCCCTTCAAGCCATCTTGGACATTACGACGGTTGGTGCAGGGTATCAGAGATCCACATATGTCGCTTCAACCCTTCATGAACATCACCATTTCGACCATTCATGTTTAGAATCTGTGCTTTGGGGATGTTCTGCTTCCAACAAAATAGCAACCATGGGTTTGGTTGCCGCATTTCCACAGCAATCATGATGATCATCTAGCATGGAGATGCAAAGTTCGTCGCTGCATGCGAAATCGTGCTGTGCCCGGGACCATTTTGCAGGCGAAAGCCGAGCGAGGCTCGAAGGGCGTGCAACGCGGAGTCGACCAACAGTCCTGCAAGGCTGTTCCTGAGATCCACAAACTGGTCGTATATGAACAAACAAATTGAGGGTAGTCCATTCTTTGAGGGAACAAGCAAGTTTGTCCAGGGCTCAGTTGGGTCATATGGGTCATGTGGCGCAAAAAGAAGCAAGCCGAAAACCGTGCATGGGAGTGGACCCGCTACATCTTCCCAGTTCCATGATCAAGCCTTTCTCCAGGATATTTCTGGGCAAGCCGTGGCTCCGCCATCGGGGTTTCGGATACCAGCTTTTTATGTCCACCGTGGCGCCATAAGACATGACCCATTCATGATTCCCGCGCCGTGATGTCACGGGGACCAAACAAACTTTCTCGCACCCGTTTGGAAGCCAGCCCTGACGCGTGTTCTGAGTTTCAGCCTGGGTGAAGCGTCGCAGGGGGACACACCTTGACAGGTGCAACAGCTCCTCCAGGACCTGCGGAAAGAGCGCGCTCAAGACCCTGCCAGCGCCTCAGAGACCTCGACTTTTGGTTCCTGACCAGCGGCAGCCTCACATCTAGGTCCCCCAGTGGTGCCCTTTTACCGTTTCTTTTTTGGGGGAGGGTTCCCCTACTAGAATAGACTGCAGAAAAAAGGGTACCCTTATTAAAACCTCAAACTACTGGAGGACATAGACATGGACCCCCACAAGAACCGGATCCCTCTTGCAAAATGCGGAGCACCCACATGACGCCGAACTGACTCTGCAAAGGAGAACCACTTCTCCTGCAGAAGGCTCAAACAACTCGTTGGTTCCCAGCCGTCGCCTCGGGTTTTTGGGTGTTTCGTTGGTTTGGTGGGGGTTGCGATTTGACCCACAAGTGCAACCTTTCTCAGATGAGCCTTCATTTTTCCATGGGCGGTTCTCACGTGTCAAACTTCGTGAACAATCCGGACAGCGCGGAAGCCTGGCCCACCCGGCGCCGGCCACCGCATTCACGGAAAATTGGCAGCTGGGTTGAAGTGAAGGCTGGGTGCCAAGCCTCGCGGGTTGCCCTCACCGTACACTTTATGGGAAGACCATCTTAGCGGTGAATAACAAGTTTGGACTTGTTTTGGCCCATCTGAGGAGAGTTCCCTAAGATGAAGCCAACTTCCCATGGTTGATTCATATGGCTCCTGGAATCGGACAGTTGGCAAAAGTTCTACCAAACAGACAACTCCGACGGGTTCAACCGTTTTTTGAGGCTCAGTTGGCTTCACCCTCTCGATCTTTGAGGTGACTAGTTTGACACATTCAATGCCTCTCCCACTTCTTCAGCACAGGTTTTTCAAATTTTCCTTGGTGGCTTCCCCACGTTTTCATCGAAAAGAGTTCCCTGCTGCAAAATCGGGTCACGCTTCGGAGAGAACTTGTCTCAGGTACAGAGCCCCACAGGCCGAGCCGGGCAAAGAGGTTTGGGGCAAAAGCCAGCCCTGCAGCCAGAAATTCGCGGCTGGATGTTGGGCCTCTTAGACATGTGCCAAAAAGTCGTAGAGACAGCAGGTCAAGACAGAGCATGGATTTCCTGGACCCTCACATGAGCTTTGAAGATGAGCATCTTAGACATCCCTTGACAACAGTCGTGCAAATTTGATGTCGGAAAAGCAAAGTGACTCAAGCTACCCTTAGAAAAGGGAAGCCACCCCAGAGTTTTGGGGCAATCGAAAGGGAGCCGCTCCGCAGCTTGGTGTGAAGTTTGCTTTTGACGGAGCCCTGCAGAGCTGCCAGGAGTGTGAGGACGTAGCAAACGTCATGAGGACATGTTGGAGAAACGACTTCAAACTAAGTTGGTGTCGGTGCGCTTCCGGTGCTTCCGGCTTGAATCCATGGTTCCAGTGCCCCAACTTTTCTGGGGGATTCTACCAATACCTGACCAAATTGCAAGGGATTCAACACAATGACAGTAACCATGAACTCTTCGCTGTTGTTGACAAGTTTTTAGTTTCTGTTAGTTCTGTTCATTTTATTGGAAGGCTAACAAAAGAGAGTCAGCTTTTTTAGGTACCATAGAGAGGTTTGTTTTTCCCTTCTTGGTTTTAAAGGGAATGTATCACAACTGGACGTATTTTTTTCCAGGGGGCTTAAGCAAATGGAAGAGACTTTGGGCGACAGGCAGCGAGGCGACCGCGCCCGGCTCCGGGTCTGAAAGGGTCGTCGGGGCCCCAAGCTCGGCGAGCGGAGTTGAGCCAACCAGTTGGAATGGCCCTCAGAAACGATCCCCGATGTTTTTTCCCGAATGCGTCGCGAAGGGTTTATAGTCTGGGGATTGTACCCTTGTGCTCGTTGTGCTTTCCTTTGTGGGAACTGAGCAGCAAGATTTTATAAACAGCAGTTTGAGGCGGGTGGGGCCCCAATTTGTTTCGCGGTGAGGTGCTATTTTCAGGGCAACCACTTTGGGGTGGTTTTAAAGGAACACCTAAAGGAACACCACTGGTTGAGGGGGGGGGGTCGACTCTGCATGATTGTTGTATGACGTCTCTCGGCAGTTGCCTCCGGTAGTTTCAATGGAGACTTGGCAAAAAGCTACACTTTCAGCTCGCGACAATCACCCCGATGTCCCGATGTGAAGCCTAGCCCAGACCTCTCGCGTTTCATCTTGACCAGGTCCAGCATATGGGGATGACGCCACAAATCCCCGCAGCTACTCGGATTTGGGAATTTCGAATTTCGGGCAAAGGAAACCCTCGTACTTGTTGGGGTTGAGGAAACAGAGGGTCCAAAGCACCCATTTTCAGGCTCCAAGTCGCCAAGTTGACACCTTTTGCCCTTTGAAGTTGACAAATCCCCGGGCTGTGCAGCATCTCAATGGCGAGCTGCGGTTAGCCTTTTGCATTGACGGCTATGTTGTTGGATCTCTCAATCAAGTGTTCGACTTGGCAACGCAACCACCAGAGCGAAGCAGGGGCTTTAGGGGACACCGGCTGATGGAATCCCAAGGGCCATGGCTGGGCATGGCTATAAGCCGTGGACGAGCCTCTACAGCCTTAAGGCTGAAGGGCCCTAGGCTTAAGGATATCGATATCCGATCCCAGAAGGTTTCTGGAATCTGTCTGGACACATTGCCGAGCTCACCTTGGGGAGGGGGGGGGTTCTTCCAGCGCCATCAACTTGCTTGGTGATTCCTGATGTCCGCTTCAGGAATTCTTGGAATGTGGGGTTGACAGTAAAAATGGGGAGCGGACATGGTGGACATGATTTAGGTGGGGATGTATGTCCACCCCGCTTTTGAGGCAGTTCCCTATTGAATATCATGGCCATCCGCGCAAGATCTGCCCAATAGTTTCACCTCAGGTCAGCGTTTCCCCCCGGGGCAGCGAGGCCAAGCGAGTGCCACGAGAAGCCGAGAGGTTGAGTGAAGAATTGAAGGTGCAATGGCTGCAGCATGTGGGTACCCTCCGCCAAGCGATTCCATGGAAGCTCCCAAAACCCCCTGAAGGAAGACTTACTTCCATTTGCAGAGGCCAATTGCCGGAGCTGCCATGTTAGGGAGTGCGTGTGTCAAAATAGGGGGACCTCCGAAACTTTGGTTTTGCTTTTAGTTTCCTCTTGAAGGAAGCCAAACAGGGTCTCTTGAACACACACAAAACTATGTGGGCCACGACGGTCATTTGACACATTTGTTGTTTTGTGGTTGGTAGGGATGGACCCTGAAAGGCATGAATGGCACATGTGACGCCCAGAGCTGGTCGAACTGTGTCCTGCCTCTGTCATGCTCCATCCAAATGGTCCCTCCTTCAGATTGCCAAGGCCGTTCTCGGCATCTCCAACCTTGGTGCTGGGAATGAACCATTTTCGGATTCCCTTAAAGCCTTAAAGGAAGCTATAGGGGATGGTTTATGAGAGTCATTCCCTGATTCCTTGCTGAGAACCAGCAAGCAACACACAATGTGTCGCTTTGGGGCTGGCCAAGAATGAAGCAGAAGGATGGACATGTGCAAAATGAGAAAGTTCGTGGCGATGCTTGCTGCCTCCTTGTCCGTTTGTGCATACTTCTTGCAAGTTTTGCTTGGCGACACACGCTTTAGCCGCTTCCTTATCGTATGGCTGCAGAGTCAATTGACGCTGGCACCATATTACTACTTGTGTGGATCCATGTTCCACATGCCTTTTGTTCCCCAGAAGGATTTCTCCACAAATTGGTGGCTTTCGGGTTTCCGTTGGGTGTCCAGCCGTCCGGCTCCTTAGGTTTTTAGGTGGTTAGTTTGTGAAAGGTAGAGGTTTCCATGAACCCACGAAAAGTTAGAACTTTTAGCAGGGGATCTGAGGACAGCCTAGAGATGTGGGCAGATTTTTTACTTGGGGACCCTTTGGTGGACATCATTTACGGGAACCCGTTGCCACTTGAAGGTGTCCCCCGCCAGGATTCAAAAGCCAGATGCATCAATGATCCCTTGTATGGTCCCAACCATTTATGTGTTTCTCACATCCGGCCGCCTCAAAAGCAGTAGGTCTCCTCTTGGTTTCTCTTCAAAGCTGTTCTAAGGGTGGACCCTGTGGATGGACAAAATCGTGCACCACCGTTGAGAAACCCTGGAACGATACCAGCCAACGTTATGGTTTTAACATCGTTTCGGAACGGTGCGAGAAACGGACTTCGCAACCATCCACAGTCCAGTTGGTAAGGCTTATCAACCATGATTTAAAGGGTTTCATCTATCCCACGTGGTGCGAGAAGCGCAGTTCGCTTCCATCCACAGTATGAAACACTGGATTTTCCATTGGACCCACAACAAGTGAACACATGTTGCAGAGGGGTCTCGCCAACCACGAAGGGGGAGAACCACCACTAGGTGTCCCGGTAGTGCCCTTTTACCCGTTTTGGGGCACAGTTCCCCTACTACTACAGTAGACTGCAGGAAAACAGGGAACTTATTCTAACCTCTCTACGGAGGACCTAGACCAGCATTCCCCCACAACTTCCCGCGGAGGTGCAGCAGATCCTGGCAGAGGTGCGGCAGGAGCGGCTCACGAGGACCTTCCCAGGCGCGGCTTCGGCGTCGGCTTCGGCTTCGGAGCTGGGAAGAAATGTCGCAGGGGTTCTCGGGGGCACCCTGGATTGGGGGTGGTTTAAAGGAAAACCCACAGGAAAGCCATCATGTTCGTTTGGGGAGGGGAGGTCCCTCAAATAAGACCCAAACTATTGTTGGGGGTGGCTTCACCTGTAGCGGTGTCGCTTTCACCCAAAGAAAGCCCGCCAGTTTGGGAGGTCCTACCTTAAAAATCACAGGCCCAGTTGCCTCCGTGCAGGTGTGAGTCGGCGCCAGCCCAAAGCCCAGCCCACGCCCGCGCGCACGCCCGCCCGCACGGCACCCCCCCGTGCGCCGGCCTTGGCGCCGGCCTCGGCGCCGGCGCCGGCGGCCGCGGAGCGCAAGGCCCGGCGAGAAGGGGCAGAGGTCGACGCGTTTTGGTTGAACCGGGCTGGATGTCGTGGAGGTGGGCATGGGTCAAAACTAAGCCACCAACACAACGCAGGTTTTAGTCCATGTTTCCATTTACCAGGATTCCATGTTGGGTACATATTTTTGACCCACAGCCATGTGTTATTGGTGCGCCCTTGTTGCGCCATGAGTACGAATATTAGATCGATATGTATGAGATACACACATACTCATTGTAAAACATGCGCCCCCCTCTCCAGGACTACTCACCTTTGATTCACAATTGCTGGCGGATGTTGAAGGTTCTCTCTTGACAAAGGCAAGATTTGCTGAGAAGTGCATCGCAGCCAAAGACCAGAACAAGAGCTTGCCAGGAAACTGGAGACTAAACAATTCCTGCACTCTCGTTCTTGACATAACCATTGCGAATTGACTTAGCACGCACGCCAAAGGTTGATACACATTTAAATTAGCAACGTCCAACACCGCGTGCACATGCTTGTCAAGGGCAATGTCATATCGACCCGTGGCAACAGCAAAGCCTGCGCGGCCCGAAAGGCAAAGAGGAAACAACCCGGCGCGTAAGTAATGTGTCTCTCCAGGCATGTTGCTTGTCATGCCTTGCTCATTTGTCAGAAGTTATAAAACAGAACTGTCCGTTGCTACTACACAACACAAAACCAGGCAATGTCGGGGCGCTTTCCGTGTAAGCCCCCGCGTAAGCTCCAGCAGAGTTTGTGACTGGGGACTGGGGGCATGGTTTCGTAAATGCCTTTCCTTGGGCCTACAATAATGGAGACAGCCGCAGCGCACCTTGCAAAACCACCCACAACTCGAGCTTTGCTGCACTCCACTGACTTGATCCACAAGGCAGCGCCATTTCGAGAAAGAAAGGCTCGGCTGAGCGAGGGGGATACTTGGACATGAGGCTACAACCATACGCCCTGCTCTTGGGAGCTGGATGGGCCCAAAGCTGGAGGACCATGAATTGACTCGCAGCTTTCCGGCTCTTCATCTGCCCCTGCGAGCTCGTCATCATGGCTGTTCTTGCTGTGTGAAACGGAAGTGCTCGCGTAAGCGAACTCTCACGGAATCTTGGCTGGGTAAGCATTGCGAATCCCGACACGTTTTGGACATGGCTCAACTCATGTTGACAGCATTGCCAACGTCTTCCTTCCGAACAAGGCGTGACTTACAGGAATTCACATGCGTATGTACGCAGTTTCTGAAATATTGTGACTAAGTTGCAGCAGCCCTTTCGGCCTCAGCAAAGAACAAAAACTGCCGCCCAACACCCCTGCATGGGCACACACAGAGTGGTTCGCATCCAAACCGTTGAGTTACACGTAGGTTTGAAAGGAACAAAACCCTGCAAAGGGCTTTGAAGCTGAAGACGGCGCTTTGAAACGCTTTGAAATGCGTCTGAACGCACGTTTCAGAATAACAGGGCTCTAAGTTTTGTTCTTGAACCCAGTAGTGGCCCCCAAGCTCGACCGGCATAGAACGCAAGATGCAGGGGTTGATGAAAAGGGGGGCGTTTTGCCAGCAACAAAGTGGTCAGGAAAAGTGCATGTTCTCTTCATCTTACCAGTTGCGACTTTCGAGCTGGACCTGCCAGAGTGTATACCGTACGCTGCACTTGTAGTGAAAAGTCACAGTTTTCGAGCAAAAGCTGCAAAAACACTGCAAACCGATGCAGAGAAGAAAAAACCCGATAGAAACCGACACCCCTCAGGGTAGAAGGTATAAGGGTTGTCTACTTTTTTTGCCAGCCCAACCTGAAAAGGACACCCTTAAAACACACGCGCAAAGGAGCCAGGCTCTGGCTGCGTGTTCCTTGCGAGGCGTCGCCCGTGCGGCGGCAGCTCTTCAAGGAGCCGGAGCGGCGGGGACGCGTGTCCGTCACTGGCACTAGGCCGGGGGTTCTTGACTGCTATTGGGTGGGATCTTTAGACTTTAACTTTTTGGGGAAATCAAGGCCTTTCGCAGTAAACCCCCAAAAAAGTTAAACTTTCTGCAGGGGGGTCAACAGCGAACAAGGGTTGGGTCCAGCCTCCTCCTGACAGCTGTGAGGGGTCCTGACTACGCGAAAAGAACTCCCCGCTTCGTGACACGCCATGTGCGAGAGAGAGACAGAGAGGCAGAGAGAGGGAGAGGGAGAGAGAGGTAACCTTTGAATCTTTGCATCATTTTCCATGTCCTGATGCTTGTTCCTTCGGCTGAATGCTGAATGGCTTTGCAGCTCCAATGTTTTCAGCAGTGCATTTCACAAACACTCAACTGTTTGCTCTTTCAATTCTTTAGTTTCTTGTTCTGGTGCATTTTGCGAGTCTTTTATTGAGGATCCCCCTTTTAGGGGGCTGAAAGCGAAGCTGAAAATATATAATAGCCATTTTTGGGCGTCCCCTCTATTCTATCTGTGTGTTTCTCCAAATGGCGGACCCCTTTTGGCGGCTGTTTAAAAGGAAGCCACAAGGAGAAAAATGCTTTTGGAAATGGACGCTTATTCTAAGAACTCCCCACATGTCTGAACCACCCTGGTAAACAAAACGCAGCCTCCTTTGGGTTTTTCGATACCCACAAATGGACAAAATCCACGCCAGACGCTCGTTGGGACGGATGAAGTCGGGTTTGAAGACATTCACCACCAATCCCTTGAGTGAGACGTTTGGGTGTGTCACGGAAACCAAAGGGAAACCACCCCACATGGCAGTTCCGGTGCCACCCAAAAACATAGCTGCCTAGTCATTGCCGTTTGCGTTAGCCAGAAGGGGGACTCACGTCGCACTCCCCTGTTTTGACCCCGCTGTTTCGAGCTTACCGGCTATCCTGATTCCAAGCGAATCAAACATACCATAAAGGGACAAATAGGTATTCCACATCATGTCACATCATTCTGATCCTAACCTCAGATGGGGTTACAGTACACAACCACAAGGTTGAGCTTGTAGTAACATGCCGGCCATTTCCCACGCCATAGATTGCATCTTCCCACAGGTTCGCCACTTGGGTGTTCAAGCAACTTAGTAGGTTATAGCCATGGTAAGCTGACTAAAGCCAGTTACCCCAGTTGTGATTATGGTTAGCTACTCAAGTTGGTTTCAAAGGCTGATTATATGCACCCATATATGAACGTTAACTAACTGCTAGTTCTGGCTCAATCCTGGAGCCCCCCATGGGTCCAAAACGGCCATGGACCTGTACAATCAGCCTTTGATGTTTGAAATGTTCACGTAAGTTTTTTTCAAGTACGGCAAGGTGACTACCCTCAGTTGCCCCAGTTACTCAGTTTTCCCGGTCGCCCAGTGGTGCCCTTTTTCCTTTTTTTTGGGAAGGCTTCCCTTTAAACTCAACCAACCCAAAAAAGGATGCCTTTCTTTCCCCTGGCCACTGGGCATCTGAGTTACGGCTGTCAGCTACTTAAGTTGGTTCATGGGGGCTGGAGGGGAGGCCTCCCCGCCCCCTCCCCTCTCCCCCAGCCCCATTGGTTGGTCCCCCGAACGGATCGACTCCCAGGGACCGGGACGACAGCCCGGCGCTGAAGCGGCGGCACGAGCTGGGCAGCTTAGGCAGCGGCTCCGTGGGGCTTTGGTCTGCGGACCTGCGCCGCAGCGGCTCGCCCACAGGCGGGGCGGAAGGGCGGAAGGCAGAAGGCGAGAGATGGGTGGCCAGGTCCCCCAGCGAGTGGTGCCCTTTGACCGTTGCTTTCTTGGTTGGGGGAGGGTTCCCTTACGAAAATAGACTACAGATAAAAGGATACGCTTATTATACCCTTTTTACTGGAGGACCTAGGTGCTGGGTCCAAACAGATGTGTTTTTGGCCCCAGATGGGTTGCCCCTGAAAAAAGGAAAGGACGAAAACCGGCTGTCCAAATATATCCTGGTGGTCGAACAATTTGAGCGCTGAAATGAAAGCGATTGCTATTTCCTCTCTCCCTGAGTTCCTGCACTTGAAACTTGTTTCATTTGGACCATTTTGGTGGCAAACAACCAGTTTGGAGTTTTTTGTTGCCAATCCGCTCAGGAAGTGAGTTTCCCTCAACTCTGAATCACTTTGGATTTTGGTTCGGCCGTGGGAAGGCCGTGGGGCTGTGCCACTCGTTTGACTCTGGTAGCCCTCTGGTTTCCAGCAAGCTGATGGCCTGTCAACGAAGTAGCCGGAAACGGCTGCAAGCAAAGCAGCGAGACCTATGAACCACTTCCTTGTCGTAAGATACAGGAGGCAAATGCCCGAAAGATGAGAGCTCCAAAGATGTGCGTGCCAAGCACCAGCTTTGTAGAATGGGGGGGGGGTTCCCAACTGTGGGAATTGCGGCAACCAGATTCATGGCGAAATCCTGCACCTGATGAGAAACCCTCAGATGATTCCCCTGTAAATGCCAACAAAGAAAGCTTTCCCATGGCATGGTCGTTGTTGGGAAACAATTTTACATTTTGCGTATTGTGGTTTAGTGGGAAATCCCCATTTCTCTACTAAATTTAATTTGTTGCTCCCCTTCCAACGTCAACCAAGATGGTTTCAAAGTGGTGCGAACTGAGTTTGTCCATCCACGGTATGTTTAGACATCTACACAGCTTTCTCATGCCAGGAGCCAGTCAGGAGGACCGCTTCGAGAGCACAGAGGCCGGCTTTCTGTTGGCTTAGCACTCGTGAGCGCTCGGAATCCCTATTGTACTATTGGCCACTTTATGTTGACCCCGGATGAATCAACCCCAGTTTATTCATAGGGGGATGATGTGCCTGGGTTGAGTGAGGAATCATCACTTTTGAAGGGAACTCCCCCTATTAATAAACTGGGGTTGATCAACATTACCTAGTTTCACGGGCCTTATAGAAAAGGTTAGGCAAATCTTTGCAACCATGTGCATGTGAGTAGAACCAAGAGTTAACGGGTTTTGAGTTCTGGTTGTGCAGTTCAAGTTAGCACTTGCAGCGCTTGTTAAAACCTGAAACCAAACGTTTGGAAGGGTCGATGTTCGGTTTTGACCCGCAGCCATCCAAGGCAAGCGAGTAAAATCACGGCCCATGCGATTGTATTGAATAAGCGCAGACTTGTTGAAATCACAAGGCAACCACAGGGGGATGCATTTAAATATATATATATATATATGTATATATTTATTTATGGGTACGTGCCAAAGTATGGGACTTCCCCCAAACAAGAAGCATTTTTTCCTTCTGGTTTCCCGTGAAAACCATCCACACCTTGAGGGGTACCCTCCAAAGAAGGACGAGCCACCCATATGTTTCTGCAAGACATCCAGAATTGTAGCTGATGGCTTCCGGGCTGACAGGCTGCGGCTCAGTCTCAAGCGAAAACTCGGCATTTTGTCTTTGGCTTCCCTTAAGCCATCGCCAAAGGACCGCTTGTGAGGTTAGGAGCATGCTTCGCCCTTGTAAAGCCTGGTACTTCAAGCATCGTTTTGTGGTACGTGTGTTTGATTCGCCGAGTGTTGTTTTGTTTTGTATGCTCTAGAGGGGAGTTGAGGCATCGAGATTGAAACCTGTGCTGAGTCTGGCTTAGCTGTCGCCTCGGCGGAACGAACCTGGAGGGTTGAAATGTGGGCTGCAGTTGAATGCCCCAGCTCCCATTAATGGCATACCACGACCCAAGCTCTAAAGAAGCTTTGCAATCTTTCTGATACCCTCCCACCAAGTAACATGGAACCTGACAGGGGGGTCCTGGAAGACCATGTTCCTTTTAAGGGGACCCCTTGTCAGGTTGTTGAAGGGGCAACTTCTGCGTGAGAAGCCTTCGGTCAACGCATCCCCATTCAAGACAACCAAGCTTCTAGCTCGCCATATATGGAATAGGCTTCCAAAGGGACCACAAGGGGACCAAACAGCAAAACGCAACACGCCGCTGAATGATGCAATCGAAGAAACAAGTCTTTGCCTTGTTTCTTAAGAAGCAAAGAAAACAACGAGTTGATCGAGTAAATCATTTCAACCTACCCTCTTGTCCTGGTTGTGGAAGACTGGGTTTAGGGCAAATTTTGTTTGATATGAACATCGGAATTGCCATTAAGAGTGATGAACTGTGTAGGGATAGCTTAGGCTGGGGTAATGTCCGGCCACCCGAGCCAAATGTTGACCAACGGACCCACCGCTCGAAGCCAGGCGCAGGCGTACCCGGCTGGTGGCTGGGACACGAGAACCAGCTGCCCCCGATCCTTCGATGATTTTCCCAATGGAGAGCCTTGGCTGATCGAAAGCGGCTTTTGAGTAACCGCCGCGCGGGTGGGAAATGGCTTGGTGACAGTGAACCACTGGATTTTGCGTTTATCAATCCAAAATCCAAACCACCGAGTATAGGAAAGCCGAGTGTTTAGCTGCTGTTGGTCTTGCTGGCTTTTGTTTGGTGGGACGGATCGGTTTCAAATGAGCGGGGTTTTTGTTGATCTATGAAACCGCAAGGAACAGCGAATCGCAGACGAGCATACGGTTGAGGTTTCCGTGCCCCAGAAAGATGTGGTACTGTGGATTCACTGTGGATGGGCACAAAATCCGCAGGCACCAGCTGCTGCTTGGATTTTGCCTGTGCGGGCACCCCCGAAAGCTGGTGCATCTTGCAAGCACTGGCTGTCGCTTTCGCCACATGTTTTTATTTCCGGAAATTGCCGGATCATGTGGGGGCTGTTTGGTTTGACACATCTCCCGAGACTGGAACTGACCGGTTCTTCAGCTCCAGGTCATCAAGAGGAACGGTCAGGCGCGCGACTGGCCTCAATATCCGTGTCCTTGGGTCGGCAATAGATGGGTTTCTCGGTGTTGTCTGGCCGTTCCAAAATGGTGGTTTTCCTTTTTGGCTTTCCTTGAACCCCACCTGTGGAGGGTTCCCTCCAAACACGAGCCCACATACATGGCTGTGGATCAAACACATGTACTAAAATGGCACCTTGGCAAATGGAACCTAAGACTCACACCTGCGTAACCCTAGCTCTTAACTTTTGAGTCACACCCACATTTCTTGTCCTAGGTCCGACACCTTTCCTGAAACTTTCAGGGGCTTCCGGTGGCCAGGCCGCAACGAGAGCTTCCCGGAGGGCCAGGATGGGCCGGCTCTTTCGCACGTCAGCCTCATGCCCTGAGGTACGTGTTTTCAAATGAGCCCCCCTTTTTCACTGAGACTCAACTCAGCAGTGCAACTTTTTTGGGGGAGGGTTGCCCTATTAACATAGACTACAGAAAAAAGGGTACCCTTATAGCTGCTCTGGCTCCCAGGTCATTGTCAAGGCTGGTACCCATCCCCGCCGGCTGTGCTTTTGCGTCGCCCCTGGCTGTTCTTGGCTGGTTGGTCCTGGTGGCTTGTTTGCGCCTTGGCGGTTGTGGTGGCTGGGTCCTGTCTTTCTCCTGCCATGCTTTCGCTTGACCCTGTCCTTCTGGTGGCCCCGGGCTCTCTCCCTGACGCCCTTGGTGAGGAGCTGGCTCGCTGGTGTGCTGCCATCCACTTCCGAGTGAATGAAGTTCTCTCCCCTACGTCCGTAGGGGAGCGCACCCTGTTTTCTACTGGCCTGCCTCCTGAGCCCGGACCTTTCTTTCCATACTGCGGTGATCAACGAGGCAACTCCGGTCTGGCGCCTTTCTAAGCCTCCTGTTGGTGAGCCCCTGTCCGTCACCCACCTTTTTGCTGGGGCCTTTCATGGTTGGTGACAGGCCTTGACGGCCATCCCTTGCCTCATCGGCTTGGATGTGGCCCATGCCCATGAGATCCTGGTTCATCCCCCCCCCATGGACCCTACGTTGCTTGGACCAAGCTGCCGCTAGCAAAAGTCCCCTGCGCAGAGTCTAAATTCACTGACGCTCATGCGCCACTTACCTGATTTACTTAGGAACATGTCCCTGAGGGCTTTTGATGGTTTCTTTGCATTCTGTCAATTGCATCTCGTGAGGAGTCGGCACTTTCGTGAATTGAACCAACCATAGCTACTTCATCAAGGGTCCTACTTAATGAGAGGAAGACTTGCTTTATCAGGCAATGCTTGCAGAGATCTTCACACCCCGGAGCCTTTGTCTGAGGGTCAAAGCTCGCCGAGAATTTACTTTGTCAAGGGACTTGTTTTGACCTGACAGGGGCTTACTGTATTAGGCCAAACGCGAGGGGGCAGGGGGCTGTCTTGATCGGAGGGGGACTTGCTCTATCAGACAAAGCTGGTTAAAGTAAGTCCCCACAACAGCAAATAAGTCCCGTGATTGAAGCAACTCCCCTTCGAGCTTTGCTGATAAAGTATTCGAGCTTTGCTGATAAAGTAAGCCCTGTCTGGGCTTCGCCTGGTACAGTACATCCCCATCAGGTCAAATAAGTCCTTTGAGGAATCAAATCCTTGGCGAGCTTTGCTGCATAAAGGAAGTCCGATCAAATCAAGCTGGTTTCTTGATGAAAGCATCTCCGCTTCGAGCTTTGCCTGATGAAGTCAGTCCCAGACAGGCCAAAGGGGACTAACTGCATCAGGGGGTTGCTTGCCTCAAAGGGCTATAAAACAAAGGAAGAAAACTCAAAAAAGCTTGTTGGCATGATTTATCTTGTCTTGTGGAAGCTAGATGCGCCTACGGCGGTCAGTGCGCGGCTTGAGCGCTTGGATGCCGCAAATGAAGATGGCGCCTTGGCTGAGACGGATGCTCCATTCTTTTCTTGCGCGCAAAGTAAAAAGTGTATAGATTCTTGTACTCCCGCTTGTGGATTCCCTTTCCGAAGGGGTTCTCCAGTTGAAATTGGGGTAGGATTAGGGATTCCATTTTTTCGCCCAGCTTAGGCTGTGAGTGGGGAAAGAGAATGAAGGGTAGATGTGTTGCTTTCGGGAGTAGATATCAGCAAGCATGGGCATATACTTGGGTAGACTTCGGCGTAAATATGGGACACATTTATAGTAGATATGCTGCAAGTATGGGGTCAACATCCAGGCTTAGTTTAGCTATCGCATATAAACTTCAATAAACATGATTTGGGCTGTATCCTAGGCTTATCCAGGGACACCCCCCCCGTCTTTCTTTCTGGATTTATTGTGTTCTTTCTCTTGTTTGTGCTTCTGTTTTCTTCCTTCCTTTCTGTTTATCCATCATCCATCCATCCATCCATCCATCCATCCATCCATCCATCCAGGCAGCCAGCCAGCCAGCCAGCCAGCCAGCCAGCCAGCCAGCCATCCATCCATCCATCCATCCATCCATCCATCCATCCATCCATCCATCCATCCATCCATCCATCCATCCATCCATCCATCCATCCATCCATCCATCCATCCATCCATCCATCCATCCATCCATCCATCCATCCATATCCATCCAACTACAGGTCTCCATCTATCTAGCTTTCCATCTACCTACATATGTGCTTACTCACTTAACTCTTTATCTCTCTATCCATGTCTCTCCATCCTCTCTCTCTCTGTCTATATGCCTATCTATCTGTTTCTCAATCCACGTGCCTATCTCTCTCTCTCTTTCTCGTTAAAATACGTTGGTACTTTACTGCAAGTGCAAGTGTTGTTTCTGTTGTCACAAACACAAATGTAGTTAGCCAGCATGCACTCTTTTCCTGGTAGACTCAAGGCCTGCAGTCGGGTAGTGTACATCATGCATGCACAAGTGACAAGTAGTGCAACATGATATTTGACACGGCCCCTTGGTTAAAAGACCTTGTAGTGTCCTTTAACCATAGACCCAAAAGGTGGTATTGACAGTAGTGGCAAAAACGAATGCACATGTTGTTTGCCGATGCTACTGTAGCGAACAGGCATGTAGTCTCTTAAAAAAGATGACCGAAGGTAGGTATCCACAGCGCTGCTGTCTGTAGTTCAACTAACCTTCAAATGATCAAAAAGTGAAATTGCTGTACAAGAACCCTAAATGGCTCTCAGTCATCTCGTAGTACGATGACGTAGTACAGCACGTAGTTGCAGCTCCACCTAGAGATCAGGTGTGCTTAGTCCAGTGTTGGACTCGGTAGTTCTGGACTTGGCTGATGCGGTAGTCCAAGCCTGCATAGTGGTTGGTAGTGAATGTGTTGAGGAAGTCTGGACCGCCACGGAGGCGGTTGTAGTCGCATTCTGGTGGTGCAAGTGCTTGGCCGGTTGTAGTGAGGTAGTTGTGGAGTAGTAGTTTGTGTTGTGTGGAAAGATTTGTAGCCGTGAGGAGGGTGATGCCGTAGTAGGTGACACTTTTGTGTAGCATCGTGTTGATGGACTTGTAGTGGTGGTCTTGAAGTTGTTGTGGTTGGTCGAAGTAGTTGAGTAGTTCTGGTAGGTACAGGGGCATGTGGTAGTTCCAAATGAAGTTGTTGGACAGGTTGAATGTAGTGGTGATCTGGTCCAAGTTGTAGGTGATTCGGTGTAGTCGTTGATGTAGCTGGCGTGTAGGTAGGTGGTGCTCGTCTTTGATTGAGATCATGTGGCTCACGTAGTCGCGGCAGAAGTTGATGAGTTGTCCAGCACTGACAAATCGTAGTAGAACTTCTGGTGGAATGTGTAGTTGGATGATGACCATCGAGTTGGTGTACTGAGTTGTGAGGTGTAGTGATGTTAGGTTGTAGTAGTAGAAGTTGACTGCCTCTGAAAGACGTAGGTGAAGAGGTAGTGAGTCGTAGTGTGGCATCCGTAGGTCTGAAGGTAGGTCGTGAACTGGTAGGTTGTAGTTGAGCTCGGGGATGGGTGTAGTTTGTTGTTGACTTAGTAGTTGGAACTCCTCGAGCGTCAAAGCCACGTAGACCCTGAAGTAGTTCTGCTCCGGGTCGATCGCTGGAGTGTCAGGGATGTTGTTCTCAATTGTAGTGAGGTGTGCCAAGATGTCGTCGGGTCTGTAGAAAGGTGCCGGTGTGGGTAGTTGGTGATTGAAGTTGTAGTTGAGGGAGTTGTAGGCCTCAGGTGGTGGTGTGGCCAAAGTAGCCATGCTGCTGGAGTCGGTAGTGCCCTGCCGATCCGGTGGTGTGAAAACACGGTCCGGTGTGGTACTGCCAGCCTGTTGTTCGACGGGCAGAGTAGTCTCTGGCGCTGACATGGGCGTAGTTCCAGCCATTGCTGGTAGTTCGGCCTATCAAGATGCAGTGAAACGGGGCAGACAGTAGTGAGCCAATGTTAGCTCACAAAAGCACATGCGGGCATGTAGTAAAACACAAACCAACATGTAGTGTTGACTCAAGCCGCCAAAAGCCGCCAAAAGTGCAAGTGCAAATTACTGGTGGTTACAATTACTATTACTTGTAGTCACTGTTACTGTTACTGTTACTTAAATGCAGGTAGTTACATATGGCCATATACAAACTGTTGTGGTTGATGTGCAACAGTTGTGAAACAGTTGTTGTTCGTAGTGCTAAACACGTATGCCAATGCTCTGTATGAGCCTCTGTAGTGTTTCTTTGCTAATGTATTTTGTGAACAAGTCTGAGCTGTTGTGTAGTGTGTTGATTTTGAGGATTCTGATGATGTCGTGCTTGATGAGGTCTTGTGTGTAGAGAAATTTAAGGTCGATGTGTTTTGCTCATTTGCTAGTGCCTTGTCGTGTAGCAATGCTCTTGCCTGCTGTGGAGTCTGTGTGGATGCGTAGATTTAGCTTGCTGCAAATGTTGGTTCAAGTAGGAAGTTTCTGAGGTGTAGTCCCTCATTAACTCCTGTGCAAATGGCGTAGAGTTCAGACTCTGCTGAGCTGAGTGCTATTGTAGCTTGTGTTCTGCTGCCAAATGCAACTGTTGTTCCTAAAAAGATGATGTTGAAACCTGAAGTTGATTTCCTGGTAGTAGGGCATCCTGCCCAGTCGGCATCGACATGAACGTCGAGATCCAGGATGTTGTTGGTGTTTGCTCTGAGTGTTGTTGTTGGTTCTATGGTGAATTTGTAGTGCTTGGTGCCGTGCAAGTAGCGTAGTAGATGTTTGACTCTCTTTTGTGAAAGTTCTGTAGGTGCTGTGAGGTCTCGTGCTAGTTCTTTTGTGGAGTATGCAATGTCTGGTCGTGTGTATGCTAACCATTGTAGTTTGCCAACAATCCTTCTGTACCTTTTGTGTTGTTCGTGGTCAAGTAGTGCTTCATCTTCTATTGTTGGTTTGTAGTGTGCAATTCCTG